TTGCAATAGTTCCAGTTTAGCACAATCAAATATACTTCAGCATATCTTTAGTTGGACTTCAGCACTACTTCTGCACAATTAAAGTGCATTTTTTGTTCCAATTTAGCAGACTTTAAGGATACCAGTTTAGGATACTAAAAGTACAATTGCAGGGTACTTTTAGTAAGTACATAAATATGTAAAGGCATTTGTAGTGTGCTTAGCTTAAAATAAATGTATTTCAAATACATTTTAGTATATTTATTTTTCACTAGGGTTACGACTTTAGTTTTTTAATGAAATGGAAAAAATGGAAAAACAAAATGACAAAAATCTTAGTAAGTTAATAATAAAAGATTCATTGCAAATATTCACCACTTTTGACAAGTTACCCCGGAAATGGGCAACTCAAATGCCCTTACTTGACATGTTCAGCATAATAAATATTAAAGTCTGAGAGAAGAAAGAGTTTCCTGTGTACATGCAGAAAAATTCCCAACAATTTTTAACACAAGGTTCCTGAAAATGACTAGCTGGAATGTTCTGAAGGTACTGAAACATAAGTGAAGTCAATGAGGTACTTGATTAAAAAGACGGAGCAGCTGTGAATCACAGTTGGCTGACCTTCAAAACTGAGTGTTCTTGCAAAAATCCAGAGTTGGAGCCTGCGCATGAGGCGTCTTCTTCTTGCTTTACGGCGGATCGCAGACTTATAAGTGCATTACCGCCACCTATCTCTCAAATGGACCATTGACACTCCCAATAGAGATTGTAGATAGTGTCAATGGTCCATTTTAGAGATAGGTGGCGGTAATGCACATTTATCTCAATTACCCCGCATTATTGTAAACATTCAGTTGCAAAATAAATGAATCATAAAATGGAAGATAAGCCAGCAAATAACGTGTTTCTATCAGCCCTGAACTGTCTTGTTTTTACAGGTGGCATGTGGATATGCACACACATTGGCTCTTACAGATGAAGGATTTGTTTACTCTTGGGGTGCAAACTCATATGGGCAGCTGGGTACTGGCAACAAAAGCAACCAGGCTGTGCCCACCCTCATCAACATGGACAAGGAAAGGTAAGATTCAAAGCGGAGCCTCCCACCTGACGGATTAAACAGTTGATATGGTGGAAATAATCAATCAAATATACTTCAGCATATCTTTAGTTGGACTTCAGCACTACTTCTGCACAATTAAAGTGCATTTTTTGTTCCAATTTAGCAGACTTTAAGGATACCAGTTTAGGATACTAAAAGTACAATTGCACGGTACTTTTAGTAAGTACATAAATATGTAAAGGCATTTGTAGTGTGCTTAGCTTAAAATAAATGTATTTCAAATACATTTTAGTATATTTATTTTTCACTAGGGTTACGACTTTAGTTTTTTAATGAAATGGAAAAAATGGAAAAACAAAATGACAAAAATCTTAGTAAGTTAATAATAAAAGATTCATTGCAAATATTCACCACTTTTGACAAGTTACCCCGGAAATGGGCAACTCAAATGCCCTTACTTGACATGTTCAGCATAATAAATATTAAAGTCTGAGAGAAGAAAGAGTTTCCTGTGTACATGCAGAAAAATTCCCAACAATTTTTAACACAAGGTTCCTGAAAATGACTAGCTGGAATGTTCTGAAGGTACTGAAACATAAGTGAAGTCAATGAGGTACTTGATTAAAAAGACGGAGCAGCTGTGAATCACAGTTGGCTGACCTTCAAAACTGAGTGTTCTTGCAAAAATCCAGAGTTGGGAAATAAGGCATTATTGAAGGGAGTGGCAGACCATGGGATAAAACTGCAGGAGATGACAGTAACAAAGTTTGTGAAGAAGGTTCACAAAACAAAAATGTATTCATTAAAAAAAACATGCTATCCATGCTATCAATGCATCACAAATATATTAACAAAAATATGTGTGCAGCACAAACGTTTTCAACATTGGTAATTATTAGAAATGTGTCTTGGACACCAAATCAGCATATTAGAATGATTTATGAAGGATCATGTGACACTGAAAACTAACACCGTGTCTACACCGGACACGAGCAAAACTGCTTGTAAACTGAGCGAGTTAGAAGTAAACTGATGCCTCATTTTATTTATGATGTACAGGCTCAAAGTTCAAATGATTTGCACCGGTCGCTTTGTCACATCCTGTGTAGATAACCTTGCATTCCAATTATTTCATGCTTTTTTTTTTAAACAGCTTACAGTTACTTGAACAGTCTACAGTTACTTATTTGCATTTTTTTATTCTGTTTCCTGTCCTCTCTTGTTCTCAGGTGTATGCTTGGGGATACAACAACTCCGGGCAGGTGGGCTCTGGATCCACGGCCAACCAGCCCACCCCACGCAGGGTCAGCCATGGACAAGGAAAGGTAAGATTCAAAGCGGAGCCTCCCACCTGACGGATTTAACAGTTGATATGGTGGAAATAATTTGCCTGTCATCTCACCTGATTTTCTGTGCATTTGAACACATCTGGGTGACATTTTAGACATACTGGAATTCACACCCTTAGTTCCTGTCATGCATTTCCTTATTTAACAAAGACATTTTTAAAAAAGTAAGTCAAGTGAAGTATGTTGTCTACAGTTCATATAGCTGTTAAGGAAGCTATAGGAAGTCACTTCACCAGAAATTGTCTTCATATGTGGGCGTTTGCTCAGTAATTGTGGGAAACTGAGAGAACTCTTCACAGACAGTTGGGATTTGAGAAAAGTGTTTTTGCTTAGTTGTAACCATTTGAACTCAGCTTAAAACACTAAATATAATAAGTATATATTGGCTTATCTGTCACTTTTTAATTCTCAAGTTTCTTAAGTTTTACTGTGCCATTTGAAAATATTCACATTTACATTTTTACATTTATCAGAAATGATGTATATGATCAAAATTTACATTATATCACTATATATAACATTCTAGCCCTAGACCGCAATCAAATTTATGTTGATAATGATGACAGACTCTGGACATTTTTACTTGATATGGATTAATCTAACAGCCTATCACAAAGCAGAAATAAATGTGACAACAGGCAGTCATGTTGCTAACAAGTCTGCATGTTCTGCTTGTCTCTTTGTGAATGAATGGTGTAGTTTGGTTTACTACACAAACTCAAACACACATGATGCTTGCAGTTAGGGGTGGAACGGTTCGCGGAAAAAAATCGAACCGTACGGTTCTCCACACACGGTTCGGCACGCGCTAGGACCACGGTTCAACTTAAATCTGACAACGCATCTGTAATATGGTTTGCTATAAATAACACGTAAAACAAACAGGGTTCGGCTAATACATGTTTCTGTTGATGGATGCGCATTCTGGCTTCTGGTGGTCAACATCGCCTGTGGACAGCTCTGCTCTATGGCCGTTCTGGACAATGGGGAGGTGAGTTTAAATAACAAGAAGAGTTTAATCAAGAATTACAGATGACAAACAAATAAAAAATAATCAAATAAATTAGATTATATGTTTTCACATGTATTACTATTTGCTGGATTAGCCATCAAATAAAAAAAAAAAATTCTTTATTATGTGTCAGGGGGCATGATTAATTGTTTTTGATTTATTGAGTGTGTTTTAAATAATTATTTGCTCTAAAGTAATGTGTTAAAAAGCTATTATTGATGAGCATGCTGTTAGGAATTGTTGACATGCTGTCAGGATATGATATTTAGTTCTGTTACTTAGTCTTTTGATATGGAGCAGTTGTTGATTGTAACTGTCTCAACCGTCAGCTGTGAGTTTTGTTGTGCTTTCAACACTTCTCAGTGATACTTTTCTCACACCTAATATTGACTGTTTCCTTTCATGTTTTCATAGTAAAATGATAATTGTAGATATAAATCTGACAACGCATCTGTAATATGGTTTGCTATAAATAACACGTAAAACAAACAGGGTTCGGCTAATATATGTTTCTGTTGATGGATGCGCATTCTGGCTTCCCAATACATTACAACAACAGCGATGTTAAAAAAACAAACGTGGACAAACCATTCACTCTTGTTGAATGCGAATGCCGTATGCTGGAATATGAGCAGTTATTTATTCCGTCATCACCCGGGTGCTGATAGCGCGCGCACACAGGTGAGACCTGAACAGCACACGTTGATATCTGTGTTTAAGCTAAACTCATTTAAGCTTTGCCAGTTTAAACATTTAAGAGCCAGAGGACGCGAGCTCGCGCACGCAGTGAGAAGATTTGTTCGTGCGCTCATCCGAAGCGTGCCTCAGAATGTGCACAAATATTAAGCTCTCTCTTAAGTATCGTTTAAATTGACAAATTCACACAAAAATTATGTATATATAGCAGACATAGCCGGCTGAACGTACTGTATCAGTGCACTGGATCAGTGCATTCTCTTAAAGTGACAGCACTTTCTTAATATTAATCAAACAGCAACAACAAAGAAATCAGTCACTGCTCTGGATTGAATAGCTTTTGTAACTTTAAAAAAGATTAATCTTTAATTTATACAGTCAAATATGCAATGCTGTTTTACATTTCATTACTTTATTAAATTTCTGTACCT